AAGAGCCCAAATACAGGACATAGAAGACAAAAGTGTCATAAAAAACATCAACAAAACAAAAAGCTAGTTCTTTGAAAGAACTAACAAAATTAATGGGTCCCTGACCAGAATGACCAAGAAAAAGAGAGAAAAAGCCCAAATAAACACAATCAGAAATACAAAAGATCAAATCACAACTGACCCTGAAGAAATACAAAAGAGTATCAGAGATTACTATGTACACCTATATGGAAACAAACTTGATAATCTATATGAAATGGAGGACTTTCTGATATCACACAACCTCTCCAGGTTAAAACAAGAAGATATTGAGATACTAAATAGACCAATAAAAACCCAGGAAATTGACTCTGTCATAAGAAAACTACCTACAGAAAAAAACACCCTGGACTAGATAGATTTCCAGCAGAATTCTACAAAACATAAAGGAAGAGCTGATACCAATCCTTTTGAAAGTATCCCAGGCAATTGAGAAAGACGGAATTCTCCCCAAATCATTTTACGAAGATAACATTACACTGATACCAAAACCAGGTAAAGATCCAACAAAGAAAGAGAGCTACAGGCCAATATCCTTTATGAACATAGATGCAAAAATCCTTAATAAAATTCTAGCACATAGGATTCAAAAACACATCTCAAAAATCATCCACCATGACAAGTAAGCTTCATCCCCAGGATGCAGGGTTGGTTCACATTCACAAGACAATAAATGTCATTAAATATATCAGCAGATGTAAAAACAAGAACCGCATGATTATCTAATTAGATGCAGAAAAAGCTTTTGATAAAATCCAGCATACCTTCTTGATTAATACCCTTAAACACCCAGGTGTAGAAGGAACATACATCAAAATAGTAAGGGCCATCTATGAGAAACCCACAGCTAACATATTGCTAAATGACCAGAAACTAGAAACACTTCCCTGAAAACTGGAACAAGATAAGGCTGCCCACTCTCACCCCTCTTGGTCAATATTGTGTTGGAATTCCTAGCTCAGGCAATTAGACAAGAGAAGAAAACCAGGGGTATCCAAATAGGAAAGGAGGAAGTCAAGTTATCCCTTTTTGCTGATGATATGATCCTATATCTTAAAAATCTAAGAGATTCAGTCAAAAACCTGCTTGCACAGATAAATGACTTTGGCAAAGTTTCAGGGTACAAAATATATGTGCAAAAGACAGTTGCATTCTTATACACCAACAACAAGCAGGCAGGGGCCCAAATAAACAGCACAATCCCCTTCATTATAGCCACCAAAAAAAATGAAATACCTTGTCATCTTCCTAACCAGAGAAGTGAAAGACCACTATAATGAGAATTACAAAATACTGCTCAAAGAAATCCAAGAAGACACAAACAAGGGAAAAAATATTCCATGCTCATGGAAAGGAAGTATCAACATTTTTAAGATGTCCGTCTTACCAAAGACAATCTACAGATTCAGCGCAATATTCATTAAGTTACCAACATCATTCTTCATAGACCTGGAAATAACAATACAGAAATTCACAAGGAAACAATAACGACCACGAATAGTCAAAACAATCCTTAGCAAAAGAAACAAAGCAGGAAGTATCACACATCCAGACTTCAAACTTTAGTATAAGGTTACAGTAATCAAAACAGCCTGGTATCGGTACAAGAACAGCCACATAGACCAATGGTACAGGATAGAGATTCTGAAAGCAAGGCCTCAATTCTTCAACCAACTCATCTTTGACAAAACCTCCAACAACAACCACCTGGGAGAGGAGAACCTATTTAGTAAATGGTGCTGGGAAAACTGGCTGACCACATGCAGAAGATTGAAACAGGACCCCTACCTATCACTATATACAAAAATTATCTCTAAATGAATCAAAGTCCTAAACATAAAACCTCATACTATAAGAATCATAGAAAATGCAGGAGACACCCTAATGGAAATTGAAACTGGGAACCAATTCCTATTCAGAACCCTAAAGGCCAATACCTTAAGAAATAAGATAGACAAGCGGGACCTCATCAAATTAACGAGCTTCTGCAAAGCAAAAGAAACCATCAAGAAAGCAGAGAGACAGCCCACAGAATGGGAAAAAAGTATTTGCCAACTCTATATCTGACAAAGGTCTAACATCTAGGATCTACAAGAAACTCAAACTCACCGAAAGGAAAAAAACAAACAGCCCCTTTAAAAAGTGGGCAGAAGACATGGATAGACACTTCTCAAAAGAAGGTATACAGGCAGCCAACAGACACATGAAAAAGTGCTCAGCCTCACTCATCATCAGAAAATTCAAATCAAAACCACACTGAGATACCACCTAACGCCTGTAAGAACAGCCATCATTAATAAAACAAACAACAACAGGTGCTGGCGAGGATGTGGAGTAAAAGGAACACTTCTACATTGTTGGTGGGAATGCAAACTAGTACAATCTTTTTGTAAGACAGTGTGGTAATATTGAAAGAACTAGAAATTGACCTTCCATATGACCCAGTGATTCCCCTATTGGGAATATACCCAGAGGATCTCAAATTATTCTACAAAAAAGATACCTGCATATGGATGTTTGTTGCAGCTCTATTCACAATAGCAAAACATGGAACCAACCATGTTGCCCACTGAAGCTGGACTGGATTAAAAAAATGTGGTACCTATACACGATGGAATATTATGCAGCCATAAAGAAGGACAAATATCTGGACTTTGCAGCAACTTGGATGGATTTGGAGTCATCATACTTAGTGATTTATCACAGAAACAAAGAACAGAGTTCCATATGTTCTCCCTCATAAGCAGGACTTGAGCAATTATAATGCTATAAGAAAGCAATTGGCAGTAGTGGGAAACTGTCAGGGAATGGGAGGTGGGATTGGCAATTGAGGGAAACTGCTAGGGGAGGGAGGGGCATACCTCACCAACAAAGGTACCTGCATGATCAATGTTTATATACCTAACCCTGAATTGTATACCACATCTTTATAATAAAAATTTTTTTAAATAAAATATAAGTAAAAATAATAAAAATATTTTTAAATGAAATATGCTCAACAAAAGTATTTTTATTTCTAAACTTGGTTCATCTTTGGTAAGATCAGCCAATTTCTCAAGATTAATCCAGCCTGAGACTGAATGACATTCAAACTATCATGTCAACAGGAAAAACAGTGATACTATTTGATGTTGGTCTTTCCCTTTAGAATTATTCAAAAGATCCTCCTTGCCTACATTCTTTGCATACTCTAAGGTAGCAAAAAGTCATGGCTAAGCTTAAGGTGGCAAAAAGTCATGGTTAACTTCTAAAAACTGACTGTAAATCCAGACCATTGGTTATGACATTTGCCATTAGTTTACTATATTAATTCTGACATTACTTTTGCCCAAATATGATGGAGAAATCAGTCGCAAGCATTGGATGAAGGCTGTAGTTTAAATTCACCCCATTGAGATTGTGAAATGACTGCTTCACTTAAATCACCAATGTGAGTGTGGGCTTGCTTCCCAAACAGTCTGAATTGGGTCAGGAAACTGGAACTGAGAGTGAAATGTTGTTAGTGTCACCTTTTGAATAAAAATAACATCTATCCTAGAACTTATTTTGTCAAAACATTTTTATCACTTTCTCTGTTATATAGTTTTTAGCTCAACATCTCTTACCTGGCTTCTAAATAGTAAGTATACTAGGTCATTTTCTTGTCCCAATCTAACAGCATGCTATCCCTAACCTAAATGTCATAAATGGGGAATCATAAGTTGTATTAAATTATTCAGACCCCTGAAAACATATGAGGATTTGACTTTCCTGCAATTATGTATATTTAAATCTGTCATCATTTCCATGGCATTGAATGTAGGTAAATGTCTAGTTGTCTCAATGAGTTATGAAAGCTTAAAAATAATTCACAAAACAATATTCTTTAGGAAAAAAACACCTATGACATACAATATACTAGAAATGGAGTCAGTTTGATTCAATAAGAAATTGTACAGTGGCATGGACATCATTCTGGAAGCATCAGAAAGATGGTGGCTTTCTGGGACCAGTTAAAGACCTGGTCATGATATCTGAATCCCAGGCTATATTCCTTGGGCAATGCATACAGAGGTTCTCTCCATTTGAATATTCAGAATTCTAAGAATATTGGAATCAAATATTGGAAAAGCAAGTTAAAAGTTTAGAAATCTAGACCATTTGATGTCCCAGTTGGTGAACAGAAGACAGTGGTAAACTAAGTGATTACCAGTATGATGATATCTTTATCATGATAAAGAAGTCATGATAAAGGCTAAGAGTAAAACCAAGAACTCAGAAGTCAATGAGGTACTGAACATATCCAAATTCTGACATTATTCTATCAATGAGGCTCAGCCAGGATTTTCTTGCCAGAAATACAACATTCCATAAGAGGATATTCATAACATATAGCATTTTTGATTGATCTATATTTATCACTCAATATTCTTTTCCACCTTTAAAAAAAATTTACCTATGACTTTTTTTTTTAATCTCTGTTCAATGGAAGAAGCCTCCATAGTTCAATAAATTTTCCCACCCTGAGTGGGATATAAAATGAATCATCACTGTCCTTTAAGGAAGCCAGAACAAGATTTGTTCCTTAATCTCTTGGGATTGTTTATAAATTGCCTAGCATGCAATAATGATAATTCCCAATTTCTAAAAGTAAGAGAATCAAATAGCCCAAATGGAATATGTCCAGTAATATTCAACACAACAATATAGCTTCACTCGCTCTTTTGATCTAAATTAATCAACGAATGACCTTTTTTTCTTTCCCAGAGAATAATTCAAATACCTTAACTCATATAAGTCCTGGTGATTTTCAGCAAGATGGCTACAGGGCAGCTTGGTCTGTGAGACCCTCCACAGAGAAGAACACAAAGAGATTCTGATTCTCGCCCTGGAGGCTGCAAATCCCATCAATGGCAGCCTGCTCTTCACACGGAGCTCAGCTGTAGACATCGAGGAGGCATCACTGCAGTTGGGGCACCTACTGCGGCTACCACCGCCGCAGCTGCTGCCGCAGCAGCCATTCCACATCACACCACCAATGTCTGAGGTGAACCGCCACCACCGAGACTGCCATTCCACATCACACTGCCCATGCCTGAGGCAAGCGGCTGCTGCTGCCACCGCAGCGGCAGCCATTACACATCACACCACCCGTGCCTGAGGCGATCCACGACTTCAGATCTTGAAGCCCCTGTGAGCAAGATCTGCTGAGGTCGCTGCTGCCACTACTGCCACCATGACACCCTGTCAGGCTGTGGGTCTGCTCCCATGTGCCTTGAGGCAACAGTCCCCTCCCCTCAGGGGCGAGCAACTGAGATAAAGATAATCTGGAGTGGTGAGATAGCACCAGCTGCTGGCAATTCAAGGTAACAACACCAAAAGGGGACAAAGGGAAACTTGACAGACACAGGCCAGATCTGAGTGGTGAACTGGGCAGTGGTAAACTGAGTAGTGATCTGATCTACCCTTCACTGCAGGCCAAGGGCAACTGACCCTAACTGTGAACAAACTTACCAGTCTGAAAAGACAGCTAGAAATCAGAGCTGAAAGGACATTTGACTTAAACGAAAAGTCTCAGAGTGTGCTTGATTGGTTCTGTTAGTCTACCAAATTGATTCTATTCCTTCTGTTTTGTTCCCCCCTTTTTTCTTTTTTTTTTTTTCTTCTTTTCTCTTATTTTATTTTCTTCTCTCTGCAAACCATATCTTTGTATGGAGGAATAGCACACCAATAAGGAGGCTGGTAAACTTGTATGTTAACATCATTGTATGTTTTAGTTGTTTTTTTTTTTTTTTTTTTTTTGTATGGGAGTTAGTTTGTAGCCATGGTCTATTGTTTTTGTATGTTTCAATTTTTGTCTCTCTCTCAATTTGTTGGTACACTCATCTGTTTTCCCCCTTAATCCTCTCTCTCTCCACCTTCCTCTTCCCCACACTGTCTGCTACATTCTCTTCCTTCTGTTAACCTCTTTTTATTTCGGGGGAAACCTACAAACACACTGCATGGACAGATTTCAAGGCAATGGGAAGTGGGTTTCAGATTATCCATACACCTGTTGACGAATACCAGGACCTGCAGATAGATTTTAAATCACAGCTCCCCCCTTTAGTAAATCTCAAAACTGCAAAAAGGACCACCCCCAACCTACAGTGCAACTCCAAAACTGAACAAAGTAAGAGGATATACATAAAGAAGAATAGAAGATTAAACAAACAGAAGTAAAAGCAACCCCTCCACCCTGAATAACAGAATTAAAGAAGACGGTGACATGGAGGGAAGGAAAAAGTAGGGAGGGAAAAAACTGCACAAATGAAGAAAAATCAAAAGAAGAATATAGGTGTCACACAGACCCCTGGGAGGTCAGACATTGAGAAAACAGACTTCGGAACAAAAACAATGAATAGTCCCCAGAATGGTCACATGCAACAAACACAGACATCAAGATATTAATAGAGAGAATAAAAAAATTGAGTAAAGACAAGGGGAAAACAGGAAGTAGCTGATGACAGAAATAACAGCAGTGAAGAATACTGTAATGGAAACAAATAACAAACTAATAAGCATGGAAAGCAGAATTAGCCAAGCAGAAGAAAGATTCTCAGAGCTCGAAGACCAAAACACAGAACTAATTGAAACTGTCAAAAACATAGAAAAGAAGCTCAAAAAGAAAGAACAAAACCTTTAAGAGATGAATGATTACTTCAAGAGGAAAAACCTAAGAGTAATCGACCTTCCTGAGGCAGAGAGAGAAACAGAGGCCACACTGGAACAAGCATTTCATGAAATCATTCAAGAAAACTTCCCTCATCTCATCAAGGATGAAAAAATTCAAACACAAGAGATTCAGAGAACCCCTGCAAGACAACAAATGAGAAGACCAACTCCCAGACACATAAGTCAAAACAAAAACTACATGATTATATCATTAGATGCAGAAAAAGCTTTTGATAAAATCCAGCACCCCTTCTTGATAAAAACCCTTGAACATATAGGCATACGGGAAACATACCTCAAAGTAGTAAAAGCCATCTCCGAGAAACCCACAGCCAGCATATTCCTAAACAGACAAAAATTGGAACCATTTCCCCTGAAAACTGGAACAAGACAAGGATGCCCACTCTCACCCCTCCTTTTCAATATAGTATTGGAAGTCTGGCTAGAGCAATCAGAGAAGAGAAGGTAATCAGGGGTATCCAAGTAGGAAAAAAGGAAGTCAAGTTATCTCTTTTGCAGGTGACATGATTATGTAGCTTGAAAACCCAAGAGAATCTGTCAAAAACTTCCTTACACTGATAAAGGACTTTGACAAAGTCTCAGGATATAAAATAAATGTACAAAAGACAATCGCATTTCTTTACACCAATAATAAACAAACAGATACCCACATAAAAAGCACAGTTCCATTCACAATAGTCACAAAAATAAAATGAAATACCTTGGCAACTTCCTAACCAGAGACGTGAAAGACCTTTACAATGAAAACTACAAAACACTGCTCAAAGAAATCAAAGATGACACAAACAAGTGGAAAAATATCCCATGCTCATGGATTGGAAGAATCAACATTGTGAAGATGTCCATCCTACCTAAGGCAATCTACAGATTTAATGCAATACCCATCAAATTACCAGCAACATTCTTCTTAGACCTAGAAAAAACAATACAGGAATTCATATGGAAACACAAATGACCAAGAATAGCCAGAACAATCCTCAACAAAAAAAAAAAAAAACAGGGTGGTAACACATTACTAGCCTTCAAACTTTACTATAAAGCTACAATAATCAAAACAACTTGGTATTGGTACCAAATCAGGCATAGAGACCAATGGAATAGAATTGAGATTCCAGAAGCTAAACCTCAATTTCTCAACCAATTCATCTTCGACAAAGCCTCCACCACCTATCACTGGGGAGAGAAGAACCTATTCAGTAAACGGTGCTGGGAATACTGGCTGACCACATGCAGAAGACTCAAACAAGACCCCTATCTGTCCCCATACACAAAAATTAACTCTAAATGAATCAGATACCTAAATGTAAAACCTCAAACCATAAGAAACTTAGAAAATGCAGGACATACACCCTTATGGAAATTGGAACTGGCATTTAATTTCTGAACAAAACCCGAAACCCACAGACCATAAGAGATAAAATAGACAAGTGGGACCTCATTAAACTGACAAGCTTCTGCAAAGCCAAAGAAACCATCAAGAGAGCAGGGAGACAGCCTTCAGACTGGGAAAAAGTATTTGCCAACTCCAGGTCCAACAAAGGCTTAACATCTTGGATCTACAAGGAACTCAAACGTGTTGAAAATAAAAAACCAAACAACCCATTATAAAGTGGGCAAAAGGTATGAACATACTTCTCAAAGGAAGACATCTGAGCAGCCAACAGACACATGAAGAAATGCTCAACCTCAGTAATCATCAAGGAGATGCAAATCAAAACCACACTGAGATACCACCTAACTCCAGTCAGAATGGCAATTATCAATAACTCAAAAAATAATAGTTGCTGGAGAGGGTGTGATGAAAAGGGAACACTCCTACACTGTTGTTGGGAATGCAATCTAGTGCAACCTCCATGGAAAACAGTGTGGCGATTCCTAAAAGTTCTAAGTATCAACCTCCCATATGACCCCGCAATCCCCTACTGGGAATATACCCTGAAGAACCCAAATCAGTCTACAAAAAAGATACCTGTACACAAATGTTTATCGCAGCATTGTTCACAATAGCAAGAACCTGGAAGCAATCATACTGTCCATCAAAAGAGGACTGGACTAAAAAAATGTGGTACATATACACGATGGAATACTACGCAGTCATTAAAAATAACAAAATCATGAACTTCACAGCAACCTGGATGGAACTAGAGTCAATAATATTGAGTCACCTCTCATAGAAACAAAGTTCTAAGTATCACATGTTCTCACTCATATAGCGGACCTTGAACATCCATTGTAATACTATAAGAAAAGGACTGATAGTGGTGGGAAACTATGGGGAGGGGGGAGAGGAAGAGAGGTGGGATTAACAGTAGTCAATATCTGTCTGGGAACTGGGAGACACCCCTTATCAACAAGGGTGCCTGAACAAAGCATATTTGTATACCTAACCCTTAACTGTACCCCACAATATCAAAATAAAAAATATTGATATAAAAAAATTCAAGTCTTTCTATGGTGTCTTATTCATCTGCCTTTACAGGTCCATTATTATTATTATTTTTTGCTCCTCCCCTTTATGTAAAATTTAGTGCACATCAGAGGGGACCATTTCATTCATTTTTCTTTCATTGTATCTCCCTTTGCCCCTGCTTCTTTTTCTAACTCTAAACTTACACATCTATTTTTTCCTACCAAGATTCAGCTCAAATACCACATTTCTATATCTCTTTCTCTTATCTTGCACCCCAACTGAAATAAATCTTTCCCTTCTCTGACTCTGGATACAACTTATCCTGCATCTTTTAAAGTGTCTAATTTCATTCATCTTTCCTTCTCCTCTTTTGAGAAATATTCTCCTTTTTCATAGTCTCATTTTCTTCAGTTTTTAAAGATGCCTGTATGTAATTAATTGATCACTAGCAGGAAACACACTACCGCTTCCATTTGTCCACAAACAACTTCCTCTTTCTCCTAAGTTGTGCTACTACTGCATACATTTAGTCTAAAATTTAGTTCTTTTTTCATTTTCTTTCTTTCTTTCTTTTTTTGTAACATAGATCACGTATCAGGAAACACAAAACAGTACATGTAAGTGAAAATGAAAGCAGAAATATTGTTTTCCAAAAGCTTAAAAAGTACATTGTTTTAGAGAGACACTGTAAGGATTGGATTATTTTGAGACTGGTGAAAACATTTATTTTGAAAAAGTAAGACTGTATGAGACTACTATGAAAACAGCTCACCACAGTGCAATTTAGTTCAAAGTACAGCACAATGAATGAAAGGTCTGTCTGAATTATGAAATCTTACTTACACCTATGATTTCATAAACTTCCAATTATATGTGTATGCACATAAACACACATACACATATAAGTATATATGTGTGTATATATGTGTGCTGTGTGTTTGTGTATATATACATATAAGATATAAATATGTGTTATTTCAACCCAGTCTTT